CTCAGTAGGAGTGGGTGCAGTGTTTATCGGATGCATTTTCTGTACTGCTGTCAGGGCTGCCAAGCCACGGCGGGGGATCCGTGCATCTTCACAGGATCCCTGCCGCGGGGGACAGCGATACACGTTGCACCGCCGTCGCCAGGATGTGACGCATAGCGTCACATCCTGGTGAAGGCGGTGCAATGTGTATCGCTGTCCCCCGCGGCAGGGATCCTGTGAAGACGCACAGATCCCCCACTGCGGCTTAGCAGTCTGCAGTGGGCATTCCAACTCCATTTGCAGCAACAACAACATATCAAAATGGGGGTTGCACAGGGTGGAAAGTTTTAGTGGGTGGGATGGCAGTGGTGTTACCTAGTTCCAAATGTGCAGGTAAAACCAACACCATCTTAACAGCGATTACTGTACTACAAGACTGGGCTCCTATAGCTTTCATATTTGTGCAGAAGGAGGAATGTCAACAGGGCTGCACTTATCTCTTCTTAAACACTGGGATATGATAAACGTCTGGTGATATTCCTTCCCCCCCCCTCCCCAAATCCACGATTTCAAAACACATATAGAGAAACAGCCACAGATACAGATCTTTGTTGTGCCTGAATGGTCAGGTGTGAGTGGTCAATTGATGGAAGAAAGCCTGCTAAGAATCAGTGGAAAACAGCAGGGGTGGGAGGATCCTTCATAATATAATCTCACTTTCTGCCAGTAAGAAGAACCAGATCCACTCATTCTAGGGACCAAAAAACAGCTTCTTCATTACTTCTCCGTATCTGACATTTGTTTCTATTCCATGTGGCTACCTAGGCAGAGACACGCAGCATGCTTCATTTCATTTCCACACACCGTAACAAGTGATTGCAGGGGAGTGCCTGGACACATTTAGCCCAATTAAATGCTGGCACTGCACTCAGTTTTTTCCAGTCACCCAGAGTGGAAATTTTAAATGTCAAGCTGGCCACTGTGAATTGGTGCCTCCCCTCTACATTTCCCTGTACCAGGAAGCTAGCAGAATACATACTCATGTAACAAGCTTATAGCTACAAATTTCACTTTAGATATCATTGAGTTCGAGTTTTTAAAACTATAGTAGGAATTGTTAAACAATTTGTGCACTGATTAAAGATGGTATTGAAAGATAAAATATAAACTTATGACATTTGGGTAAACAAACAAAACAACTGCATACAATTTGGTTCATCCTCTATTAGCTATCTCTCTGGAAAACAGAACTTAAATTGCTCCCAGCTGAAAACTATTCCTAAACTTGCATGATTGCTATTTCAAAGAATGAGCAAAGAGCAAGTTTCAAGAAAGATTTTTTTCTGAAAGCAATTAAATAAATGCAGTCCACATGAAAGAAATGCCATGCTCTAACAAAGCAAATATTTCTTAAGCTTCTACTACATAAAACATCCAAACACCAGCTAGCCTGCCCCAAATCTAACACACAGATATATACACTTTTTACCAAAGATATCTAATGACATACATACATATATACCATACTCATACCAATGCTGCATCTTATTTGGCTCTACCACCACTGGTGTAGGGAAACATTGTACAATCCTATGAAGGTCCCGGTCACACGAGCAGGATGATCTGCTGCTGAAGGGAGGCAAATTAGAGCCGGTGTAACAGGTCGGATTAACCCCCCGGCCAGAGTAACCCCGGGGTTATTCTGGCCTAGGCTAGAATAACCCCGGAGGGGTTATTGAGGGGTTATTCTGGCCTAGGCTAGAGTAACCCCGGGTTAATCTGGCCGGCTGTAACAGGCCAGATTCACCCCCCCTGGCCAGAGTAACCCCTGCCGGGCCAGGCCAGAGTAACCCCGGGGGTTAGTCCAGGCGGGGGGTTACTCTGGGCTAGCCTAAACTAACCCCCGCCTGGCCAGAGTGGTAAGTTAAATGTTAGCTGAATCCAATCTCTTCTTCTTTTTAACTTCTTTTTTTAACGTCTTCTTTTTAACTGCACAACAACCTGTAACCCCGGGCTTAGTTGAATGGTAACTTAGATGTCAGTGTAGCCAGCACAGTGTCAGCTTCTGAGGGTCCATACTAACCCCCGCCTAGCCAGAGTGGTAAGTTAAATGTCAGCTGAATCCAATCTCTTCTTCTTTTTAACTTCTTTTTTTAACTT